TAGGCATTATAAAGCATCGCAACTGCAGCAATTCAGCAAGCTTTCTTGAAGGAAAGAGGGGAGAAATGCTAATCTGTTTCTAGAAATCAGCTGTGTGATGTGTGCCTCCAATTAAGTGGGGTTCCACAAGTGATCCAGCATCATTTGATGATATTGTTCCACGTGTCCTGATGTAACGCGACACAAGCAGCAGGAACAACCTTCTCTGTTCCCACCATGACCAAATACTTTTGACATCAGAGAGCCTTTTCATACTTCCCTTTAACCTGTTACTAAAATTTCTGCACAGCACAAGTATGTACCCTGACAACCATCCTCAGCACAGCAGGAAGATATCATGCACCTATTCTGAAAGTTGTGGCTTCCTTGTAACTTAAATATAGAAAGATTTTCTCCATCTTCCCCTTTTCAAGAATTTCAGAAGAGATGTATAGAAACCTTACAAACTAACTGACAGCAGAGACAACAAAAAGTAGAAGTCCCTAGATTTAAAATAGCTCTAAGTTTTGAAAGTGGACCCATCAGGGTGAGAGTAGAGAGGAGATGTCACGCAACCCACTGATTTTGGCTGGTATTTGCTTGTATCACATAAGGAAAATAATGGACGGTGTTTGATTAAAGCCATATCTCTGGTCTATTATGAGGAACAGTTTAAAAAACCCAGTCAATTCTCTGTCGGGACTTCCTATGCAGTGGGAGCCAAGCTGGCTCCTTCCAAAGGCTGTGCCTGGGCTCCGGGCACCAGGGAAGCCCTCAAATTCAGCTCTGTGCCCACCCAAGCCAGCTCCTGCTGCCCTGGAGTTCCATGGTAGACAGTGCATCAGAGCCACTCGAGCCATGAGTACTCGGTAAATAAACAGATTATTACCACAGCCTCAAATAGGGCAGTTCTCAGGAGCTATCGGACCTTCGCTGAGCACAAAATCATTTTGTGTTTTTGTTTGTATGGACAAAGAATTAAAGAAAAAAAGTCTGCACCCTGAAGATCCAGCCTCCTTCAATGTACCCTGAAGAGTCTCCTGTGTCATGACAAACTAATTGCGTGTGTTCAGGGAAGGCTGTTACTTTGGCTTTTTCCACTGTGTATCAAAAAAACCTATGTTTGATTTTAAAGCACATGCACTTAAAAATACTGAGGGAATCAGCTACAAAGAGACCACACAAGCTGTACAGCCTTCCACAGAAGTCTGGGGTTTTTTAAAGCATAAATACACAGCCACCTCTTCAGTTTGCCCTTTCATCTATTCTGAAACACTTCTTAACACACATACACACACACACACACTTCATTTCCTAACTAGCTGATCATATACAAGTTTTGGGTTTAGTATCTTTGAAGAGCTAAAAAAGATGAAGGTAAAACACCACCTTGATCCTGGAACAGAAGTCAGCAAGTATATTGTGGGTGTCTTGCAAGTCACAGAGCTGGGAAGAAAGAAGCCTGTCCTGACCCTGTATTGAAACCTGATCTAGTTAAAGAGGCACATGGATTACCATTTATAGCGTTTCTCAGGGGCCGGGGTGAGGGGCAAGGAGGGCGGCAGACAGCTCTCAGTCTGGCTGCGTGAGCCACTAGCTGGCAGCAAGGTTATAAAACATGCAGGTGCTGGGCGCCAAGGCAGCATCGTTTTCCTCCCACCGTTGCAGTGCACCTTCCATGCCGCTGCTGTGTTAACCACCCTGAAAGCACACATCTCTTCAGGAGAACAGCAATACTGTTTGTTCACAGGCTGGGAAGAAATGATAAAAGACTGGAGACAGAGGAAGAAAAGGCAGGCAGATTTTTGTCTGACCCTGCAGTTAATCCCCAAAATCGGTGAAGATACGTTGATACGGCCATGCAAGGTACTGCTTTGCTCCCAAAACCAATGTATACATAACAGCGTGCGGTTCAGTTCTCTACGGGTGAACTGGAAATTACGCTTTGTGGAACCACGTTAATTTTGCCAGCTAATGACCTGTCTCAAAGAACAAGGTAAATATCTCCAAGCTGGAAATTTATGACCCTGTGACAGAGAGGTGAGTCTCCTCCAAAAAGCTAGTCAGAGTCGGTTTCTGTCTCCTTCTCCACCATGGCAAGGTAACAGCACAAGATTTTGGAACTACGAAAAAGCAAAGTGCAGTCTCTATGCTAAGTTCTTCAACAGCAACAAAAAAACCTCAGCCATTCTTCTCCAACAAAACTGCGAGTATTGCCACTTTCACAAAAAAGCTTTCTGCTATATATTTTTGGTATTCAGCCACTACCTTAGTTAACTACACTTTTTCATGAATTGAAAACAAAAGCATCCCTATTCTCTTATTCCAGCCTGTACAGAACGCAGGCACCACGAATTCACTAGCATGCCCAGGTAGGATACCTCCTTGTCAGGCATCCTTTGCTGTCTGACAGAACAGAGCAGCTACGCAAGCATGCCCCTGCCCACCAGAAAACCCTGAGCTTTCTTCCAAACGGGATGAAACAAAACCGAGAATGCTCCATGAATGATGGGAAGTCTGACCTTCCTCCCTGCCCCTTGGCCTTCATCGCTGAAGAAACATCCTAGCTGCCTATGTAAACCAGCACTATGTATAAATGAAGTTAGTGGTTTAATTGACAGGGTACCCATTACATAGCAAAAATGTCTCTTTAATACTGTAAGAAATGTAATTTGATATTCTTTTATCTAATTAAAGTACAAATTCTCTATGCACAGAAACCGACAGCTCTAGAAGAAGGAACTGAGCAGCATCCTCCATTTGTCTCCACTTGATCTGAGGGTCTGTTCTTAGAGCTGGATGGTTAAATTGTTCTGCAAGTCACTTCATTCTTCATCCTATGAGCTAGGATGGCCAAAAAGGACACCAATTTGTGCCAACCAAGAGGATGTTTTTTCTGAACCAGGTAGTTGTTTGTAAGAAACTGGGATGAAATCCCCAAATTCGTATTTCCCTCAGGCCTCTAAAGGGCCATGAGATGCATTACCTTTCACCACAGAGTGACAGAAGAGAGAGAGAGCCACCACAGACCGAGGCTGGATTATGACCAGCAATTCTGCAGGGACAGATTCCTATTTCTGCTCCTTGACCTACGAACTAGCTTTGTTTGATTTATTCTGAAATCCTCTCTTATAAAGGAAACATGGAGAGAAAAATCAGCTGGTTTAGGTATAAACGCAATTCTTTTTTATATCCCCCAAAGCATCTGCATGGCCAGACTTGCAAATAAACAATTTTCTGTTCTTTGCGTTACAACACATTCTAGAAAATACAAACCTCTATTAATATCTAGGCAAGCATGACAAAACATAATGATGGAGACTGCTGAAACTAAGAGAATGGAAACAGATGATCACAGAATCGTAGAATATGTCAAGTTGGAAGGGACCCATAAGGATCATCGGATTCGACTCCCTGCTCCTTGCAGGACAACCGAACGCTAAACCATACGACTAATAGCGTCATCCAGGTGCTCCTCGAACTCTTGACAGGCATGGTGCCATGACCACTTCCCTGAGGAGCTCGTTCCAGCGACTGACCACTCAATGACAAACCTTTTTCTAATGTCCAATCTGAACTTCCCCTGACACAGCTTCATTCCTTTTCCTTGAGTCCTATTGCTGGTCACCAGAGAGAAGAGATCAGCACCTCCCCCTCCTCTGCCCCTCTTGAGGAAGTTGTAGATAAAAGAAAATAAGTTTAAAAATCTATACTGATCCAATACCACCCCCATGCTTATTTTTTATCAGTTCCTTTGATTTAGGGTGCTTGTGTCTACAACACAAAGAAATCTATGAACAGGGAAATGCTGCGCTCCCTCAAGAAGCAACATGCACATGTCCCACAGCAAAAGTAGGCAGGGAGTTTTTTAACTTAGTTAATGCAAATATCAAAATGAAACAGCAGGACTCTGGCCTCTAAACATGCTGTGGCCTGAACTGACAGAGAAAACTGTTCAGACAACAGAGAAAAATGTTTGGGGGCCATTATTTCACAGAATAATCTCTTTCTGCTTTTCCAATGTAATTCAGAAAATTTCAACGAGCTCTGAAGAGATAAATTTTCAAGCACATCTCATGGATCCCACTGGGATAACTAGTCTTCAAAATACCTGCGTGCTGCTTGCATTTATGCACCTGTTTGCTACATGCATGCATTGGTTTAGAGGTAAAACCAGAAAACATCAACATGAGAAACCATTCTCTTGGTCATCTCCTTTACACAAAGGACCATGGCTATAAATTTTCTGTAAGGATTCTTGCATGCGGAGAAGAATGTATGTGAGGGAAGGATACATGCTGCCTGCAATGCCAGAGAGCAAAGCTCACTGAGAAGGGCAAAGCAGGAAAAGATGGCATCTGCTCATTCCATCCTTGCCTTTGTAGTTTCACTTGGTTATAAAGGCATTTACAAGCACAGTTACAGTGGGGAAATCTGTAAATGAGACTTAGATCCCACTGCCTTTTAGTGAATTATAATGGCCCTTCATCATCACAAACAGATGCTTCTGAAAATTCTACCTTGCAAATGGAAGTTTTTACATCTCTGCACAAACCGATTAACCCAAGCACTTGGACGTATACCAACCGTCCAAGTTCAAGTCTCCAGGTAGTGCAGGTCTCAGATCAGATACTGGATTAGAATCAAAACTGGCCCATTGAAATTTTGGATTGCTGTGCTCAGAACACAAATACGACAGCTGCCCGCTGTGACACCTTCAGGGCAGAGCTGGCAGGACTAGCACTGCTCTGCTTTCAGCTGAGATAGATTTGCTGAGTCTCCAGGCTGAAGATTTCTTAGAAAAGTGAAAGGGAAAGTTTGGCTTTTGAGGTTTATACACCAGCTCTTGCAGCAGATAGTCTTCTCTTCAATAAGATTACAATGTCTCATTCCTACCACTCTCCTCCCCTCTAAAAAGGCAAGGATATTCATTAAGCAACAGGTAACCATAATGCACAACACACCCTGTCACACAATACACAACGCTCATCTAGCAGCAACGATCTCCACCTTCAGCTTACCTGTTTTATGCACTGCAGCCGGTCATTAGTCTGCTGTATGTGCCTGTCCATAGAATTCATTTTGATTGTCTCCACTTGGCTTCTACCTGAAAGCCATTAAAATCCCTCGATCTGCAAGACAAAAAGGACAGTAAAGATCACTGAGCACAGTCCATTGCACTTCTACCACCTGAGCAATCGAGCAGAGCCGCTTGCAAGAAACCCCTGAGCATGCTGCAAGATAAAATACTAATAATCCTAATAACAATGACAGTCTGGCTTTTGCAAGGACAAGGGCATGGGGATTCTTCCTAATCTTCCTCTAAGAGAAAATACCTCCCATAAATATTAAGCGAATCAGATATGGCAGAGTATTATATGGCCAAATAACACAAAAGGTGTGCTATGAAGACTCTCTATTTCTGTATCAAAAATAAAAGCAATAGGTATACTTTGGACTCTCCTCCAATCTTAAAACTAGCAGACCTGTTTAATGAGCCCTTGAAACGGCTGAGACAACAGTGAGTGAAGGACGGGGATTCACAACTCAACCAAGACTTTCAGAATGATGATTCCAGATACACAACCCAGTGTATACGGAAGAAGCCTGGTGTTCAGACCAGAATCATAGAATCGTCAACGTTGGAAAAGACCCTCAAGATCATCGAGTCCAACCGTTAACCTAGCACTGCCAAGTCCATCTATACCATGTCCCTGAGCACCACATCTACCAGTCTTTTAAATACCTCCAGGGATGGAGACTCAACCACTTCCCTGGGCAGCCTGTTCCAATGCTTGACCACCCTCTTGGTGAAGAAGTTTTTCCTAATATCTAACCTAAACCTCCCCTGGCGCAGCTTGAGGCCGTTTCCTCTCATCCTATCACTCGTTACTAGGGAGAAGAGACCAACCCCCACCTCGCTACAACCTCCTTTCAGGTAGTTGTAGAGAGCAATAAGGTCTCCCCTCAGCCTCCTCTTCTCCAGACTAAACAACCCCAGTTCCCTCAGCCTCTCCTCATAAGACTTGTGCTCTAGACCCTTCACCAGCTTTGCTACCCTCCTCTGGACACGCTCTAGCACCTCAATGTCCTTCTTGTAGTGAGGGGCCCAAAACTGGACACAGTACTCGAGGTGCGGCCTCACCAGTGCCGAGTACAGGGGCACTATCACCTCCCTGGTCCTGCTGGCCACACTATTCCTGATACAAGCCAGGATGCCATTGGCCCTCTTGGCCACCTGAGCCCACTGCTGGCTCATGTTCAGGTGGCTGTCAGCCAACACCCCCAGGTCCTTTTCTGCCAGACAGCTCTCCAGCCACTGGCTGAGCCATTCCTGCCTTCTAGAAAAATTGGGCTCTTTAAGGTATCCATAGCTGAACAAACTACTTGTTACCTCTGGAAAAAACACGTCCTGCGTTCTTTAGGCCCATCTCTAACAAACTGTGTAACTTAAGGCAAATTAAAACTTCCCTGTGACTTAAAAAAAAAAAAAAAAATCTCGAAAATGGAAACGAAGGCTCAGAGTGGTGTTAGGAGTATTAATTCGTGTTGCTATAGCTGTATAAAATCATCAAATGAAAACTGGCTACAAGTTATGATGATCTAGAGAGCAAACCCGCAGTCCCCTAAGCCCACCACCGACGCTCATCATGCGGAGTTATGTTTGTGGATACAGCTTGGTACACACTGGTGCCATCAAGATGAGCCCTGCTCCGGTATTCGTTAACTCTTTTTCAGAGCCATGCTTTACATCATACTCCATGATCACACATAAGCAGCTCCTCGTCAAGATAACGGTATATGTCTGGAATCAAGAACGATGTCTGCAAGGGGGGGAAACAGTAGGTCCTAAATCAACACACACATATCATGCTGAGTTTGCCATTTACCTCTCCGTTATCCTTGTGTTCAGACTGGGGTAAGAGGGTTAGCCACAGCACAAACAGCCCTACTGATCTGATAGGCAGGAATGGCCAAAATGGCACTCGAACCAAGAGCAAGACACTTAAAATATAAGTAAGCATAAGTAATCCTCCCAGTGTGAGCGTGCCTTGCATTTCACTGGGCCCCCTCCACCCATTCCCTCTCTCTGGCCTTGCCTTATAATTTTCCTATAGTGGCAGAACAGCAGATCACGAAGAGAGAAGCCAACAACTCATCAACAGTTTCAGGCCATAATTCGTATCACCAAACGGTTTGCACCGTGACTTCTACTTATTTATGTTTTAAGCAGAACTGCATGAGACCCCAGCCTGTACTTAATAAGCTGAGCAGTTTTAAGTGCTTTTTTCTAGAATTCACTTCTCAGGGGCACAGAGATGTTTCACAGATACGTATGTATACTCTGCTGTTTCAATCACTTTCACGGCATCTAAAATGGAAACGAAACCATCAATATTGCGCATTGGAACACGAAAACAGTCTTTGCCTACAAATTCCCCTATCCTTTTACTATGACAGAGCAGTACAGTCTAAAAAGTTGTATCCTGATGCTCACGAGCAAGGAGTGGGCACAGATTAAGAAATACATACCCAAATGCTGTATTTATGTGAAACTTTATACTAGCACAACCAAGGTCCCAGACTTGCACGGAAACCTCTCCCTCATGAACCTCTTCAGTGGCACTGAGCAGTTTGTTATTCACAGAGCTGTCCGTGACAAATCTCTTTTCCACTCCCTACACACACATCAAGAGATAGCAAATTTTTCAGATAGTTGTTCGGTTAGAGAAGCTGGCCGCTCACCACTCCTACTACACATGACTCAACATCTCTTCTGCTAAAGCACCTCTACAAGACCAGCACTGTCCGTACTCAATCCCCAGAAGGAGAAGAGTGTTCCCCATGGTGGAAACCCTGGCTGTCTGGCTGTCACGACAAGACAGACTCCAGACACGGCATCCGCGTGCGTCCCACGCACCCGAGCTGCTTGAGATTTCTGTACCTAGCTGATAATGTTCTTCCATGGCTCCTGCCGGATTAGACTCGGGGAAAGAAATCTTTTCTGCTAGACAGCTAAATGAGGTCTCATAACAGCAGCTCAATCTCCTCATCTCCACACTCCAAACACAAGAGGGTTCAATAAAGCACTCCTGTCAATAAATTATACTACTTATGGAATGGAAGAGCCAGTTTCACATACAAGTATTATCGTTTGATTATGCCACTGCCACCTTCTCAATAGCAAATGCCATCCAAAGGTTCTTTAGCAAATATAAGTTGATATATTTTATTAAAAGCAAGTAACAGTCTTATCTGCCTTTAAGACCCCCAAACAGACCTCAGTAGTCATGAAGTTTAATCTCTCAGTGGACAGCAGAGGTATTTATCAAGAGATAAGGTAGCCCAAACATGACACCACTTGAGCAGTGATCCATCTTACAAGCTGGGACACATTATCTGCATTTTAATTGAACATCAGGACAGATGGAGAAGGGCACGTTGAAAACAAATACAAACACATACATGCACATAGATTTTTTGTTGAAATACTTGAAGAAATAAAAAAAAAAAAAAAGAAAAGCCTCAGTTTGTAAGAAGTCAGGACATTTTTGCTTAATGAACCAGTAAGCAAAACACCATATTTCTGGTTGACTTCGTAACACAATTTTTGTCTGTTTTGGCATTACCTATTTAACCTCCTCCGTGCTATACAGCCACACAGAGAAAGTAGAAGCCAAGTCGAAAAGAACATCTATCCCAAGCAACAGATACACAGACATACTCTATACTGCCAGAAAACACAATTCTCAAGTAAAGCCAGATACACCAGCACTCGGACTCATGGCTAGTAGCATCAGGAGCTGCCTCTGATGTTACTGGCAACATACTTCAGGGCTGAGAGACTGCAGAGAGATTTTACAGAGACAATGACAACGACTTGCATTCATGTACTGTCACTCATGCCAACAAACTAGCCTGCATGTTGATTTATGAACTGTACATACAATACCACCCCAATTCTCTGCTTTCCAGTTAATCATAAACAAAATTGAAGGTTGCTATCAGCTACCTGAACCACAGCTTACTATTGTACTTGTCCAAATTGTTATTTCTCGCACACAGCACAGCTTCTCAAAGCCCATTTGGAAAAGCAGAGGGCAGAGCACACAGAACTAAATCGCACGACTGAGCAGGAGCCTGATGGGGCTCTTGGAGGCAGGACTGGGAGTGCAGTCCCCTCTTCTCCTACACAGACATACCATACAATTTCTGTTGTAAACTGATCAAATTCAGTCTCAAAAACGGTTCTGCTTTTAACACCCAATGGCTTCCACTGAAAAGTGCTCTCTGACTCTCACCTTTCCCCTAGTACCTAGAATTATTTTCACCTCCATCCTCAACTCCACTTGTTCTCACGTCACTAGTGCTCTCTGGCTAAAACGCCCTTTGCCCTGCCGAGCTCCCTCCACCTCCTCCCCTCACCGTGTGGACACACACCCACCAAGCCCTTTACCACCGCTGGTTTCCTACTTACACCAGCCCAAGCTCCTTTATTCTCTTCTGGTCAAGAGAAGCCCCTCAGTTCACTAACTCCCCCGGCAAAGTAAACATTTGTTGCAGGAACCAAACAGCCATACTTGTACATATGAAACCTCACCACACACAATGACATTAACACTTTGTACTTTAAATATCCTGCCTCACTCCTACAAGACTAGTTTTTACCTTTCTCTCAGATACACCATAAGAGCATCAAATAGAATAATTTTTTCAGTGAGCATACTGGCTCTAAGTCATTTCTGCTATTAAAAACACAGAGCTCATTAGTGGGAAACCATTATTATCTGGAAATTATTCTGTCATAGGCCTCAGCAAGAATTAAAAGATTAAATGTGGAAAGTGAAAATTATCATATGGATCTGAAGTTTTACCAAGGCAGAATAAGCATTTTGACACCAGACCATTTTGCCTGGAAAACACACCAGCAGAATTAGATTTCCAGTAACTATACCTACTACACAGGTACTGCTGTACACTGGTCTGATTCCCTGTGTGCACATCCACACCCTGAAATTCAAAAAAAAGCCCGTTCTGTCAATCTCACAGTTTTAAAAGTAACTGCAAGATCACCTTACTC